AATAATCCTACATAAATCTGGGAGTAGGCCCCATTGATCTCTATGGGGCTTATATATGAGTAAGGATATTTAAGTGTATGCTGCCATCTTATTATCTGAAGTTGCTATATTTTTCCTCTATAATATGCCACATTTCTCCTATACTGTTTTACCTGGAAGTAAATCCTACTGAATTCCATAGGAATTCCATAGGCATGAATAGGATTGGACTCTAAAGAAGATTGCAATCCTGGACAAATTTATTGAGGAGTAAACCCCATGAGGTCAATGAGATTTTAAAAAACAAAATAGATATAAATAGGATTGCATGTTTCTAGTAAATATCATTTCAGTCTGTCTGTTTCCTGCTGTCTTTCAGCTACACCTATCTTTGGAATTTCTTGCACTGAAGGAAAATGTATTCTTTTTTCACTTCCAAATGATACCAACTCAGCATACAGCGTACTTCTAGTGAAATACTCATTCTGTGTATTTTATGCCTTACATTTAAGATCTAATAAGGTCTATCTAAGGTCCTGATTCAGATCACTTCCTAAACTATTTTCTCCTGCAGGATTTATGTAAGGTTTTTTTTTTTTTCAAAAGAAAAGAGATGTTGGTGAAATTTTGGTGGAATGTGGTGCTTTTTCAATTCTTTGATCACTTAGCGGCCAAGGATTAAATCAAGGTTTATGAATGTCCAGAACGATATAAGGTAATCCTCTCTACAGCTGCCTTCAGCCTCCCTGGCTTCCCACCCTTCCATTACTTTGCACCCTTCCAGACTACCCTGGTCTTTTCCAGTTCGGCAAGGGTGGGCTGTCAGGGAGTCTGCAGAAGAAAAGCAAGGTGAGTCACAGAACAACACTAATAGCAGCAGCACCGGCCCTCTCCAAGAAGAAAGGTAGCTCCAGCAAATAAGATGTTAAGAAAATAAAAATATCATTTTAAGAAAACCTTAACCACCCTGGAAACCACCCTGGAAACAGAACAGAAAACAGTTGAGAAATCACAAGGGCAATTTTAGCACAGGGTTAATAAAACGTTTAATAAAATGTTTGCCCAACTCTAAACAATAATATTTTGCTGACTTGAATGTACAGGAGATCGATTATCAGTTTCTTCTTTGCTTCTTGTCTCCCACAAACAATAATGTGTCAATCTGCTGTATTGAAAGATGTATCATTAGCCTGAAGGCTGAGCTTTTTAGTCACTTCGTTAAAAAAAAAAAAAATCCTAGGCATGGCAATCATTCCATGTTGTTCCATTTTAGTTTGCAATATTTATATTGCTTTTCTGTACTGAAGTAAACTTTACTTTTTCTCCTTTCACAATTTTATAAATCTCAGATATTTAGAAAACAGGCCATTTCAATTCAGATTGAATCAGAAGTAGTCTGATCCACTCAGAGGCAATGAGTGTTATTGAAATGATTACTAATTTCACAACAAGAAGACTTCAAGTATTAGATAATCTATGAAGTCCCAAGATAATTAACGCATGCTAGAAGGAAGGTGATCAGTCCTATTCTTCTTCCTCTCAACCTCCCGAGCTGAGTGGGTGATTCAGTACCCAAAGCGAAGGATAGAGATAGGATCATTTTGAAGGAGCTGGGTGATTATGTATAGCTTAGTTATCTCTTTCTGAAAAAAGACAGATATCCTTCTAATCTCTGCCACCAAAAAGAAATAAGTTTGCATCCCATCCACCCTCTTATAGGAGCGAAATTTAGGGAAAGGAAATATCAGTTCAGCTTCCTAGGATAGGCTTATACAATAGTATTCCAAAGTGTATAAATTTTAGAATCATATGATGCAGCTGCCCTCTGTATGAAATGGCTGAAACATGATTTTAAAAAAAACAAAACAAGAAATGTGTATTCCTTAAAACCTATAAAAACTTAGGGGAAAAAATGAAGTTACAAATTACCAAATTAAATGAATTGTGCTTATAGTTTTTTCTTCAGGCTAAGCTCATTGATAACAAAATACATGATCTGGATCTTCCAGAAGACCAACAGCAACAACAGAAATCCATCTCTCCAGAAACTAATTCCCTAGACAAAATACCTTTTTCCAAAGTGGAATACCTTTAATCTCCCCCCAGATTTCCTTATTACCAATGTCTACCTTTTTCAACTCTCTGTGATACAGCCTTCATCTCAGATTGTGATTAGTTTTCTAAGCTTTGACCTTCATTTTTGTTTATGTTCATTGAACCATGTTAATCTTCATTAACCTCAAGTGAGTTGAAGCAATAAATTTACAATAAAACGCCAGAACCTGCCATCTCTGGCTGGTCTGTGAATGTGCCACATTTTCCATCTGTTCTAGATGTTGGATCCAGTTGATTTATAAACTGAACAACTACTAGAGGGGCACTGGTCAGCAAGAGGTCTCTGAAAAAGTTGATTATGTTGGGCTAGAATTACTGAGCAAACGTCTTCCTACTTTGTCTTCCTGAAGCATAGCTTGATAAGTTTGTTTATTTATTTAGAAATTTATAAAGGTGTCCAACTCTACAATGACTCAGCAACAACAGTCATAAAATGTAAATTTTAAAAAGGCAAACACTAGAAGAAAAACCAGCATTTAAAAAGAAAAAAAAATCAGACATGTGTGATCCATCATCGACTCTAACCTAAGGCCTGGGGAAACAACCAGGTTTTCAAGACTCTTGTAAACACAATCAGGATAGGGACCAAACATATCACAGGAGAAATGGTGGTCTATCGGACACTTTCTGTGACAGAGGAGGCACATAGCACGTATTCCATTTTGAGCATTTGGCCAGCTGAATTATATTTCTATGTAAGAGGAAAAATAAGCAGGCAGGGAACCATTTGTGCAACCATGCAGTGGTTGAAGAACCAGGGCATCCTAGTGTCATGTAGAAAGAAACCATATTCCTTTTCTTCCAGTCTTTATACAGCCTGAAGAGAGAGTATATGGCTGAAATTATCATAGGTGGTACATGAGATGTGTGTGTGTGTGTGTGTGTGTGTGTGTTTCATTGTACAACTCTTTCTGTCCAGTGTCTGCAGCCTCCCTGGCTTGCCACACTTCCGTTCAATCCCAAGGGAAGGCTTCAGCCTGCAATGAGGCTTTTCTGGAT